TATACACACACACACACACACACACACAACTGTATTTTAAAAGTGGTTTAAACAAAATTTCAGTATAATAAGCCTCTGAATGTATTCTTTAAAATAATTTTATGATACCACTCACCATTAATGTGAATGGTTTTCCATTCCTCATGATTGCTAAAAATCCAGCAAAACTATTGGAATGAAAGTCAGCTTGCCGGGCCCGTCCATATGTGAAGTTACTGCTGGCTAGCTTGCGCACTGCTCAGTAGCTTGCACGCTTCCTTTCTGCTATCTCTCGCACAGTATTTTGATACGAACGTAGCATGGAGCGTGTCAAAGTGCCGCTCTGCATTCGACTGTTTCATCGATGTTATTTTGTCATTGCAAATCAGACACACCGCAGAACCTTTTCTCTCCACAAAGGCGAATCCTTCGGTCCATTCATCCTGAAGTCTCCCAAACTCGTCATCTTTTTTTCTTTTCGCCATCTTATTCGTTTCAGATGAACTTTGAGCTAATGGCCGAGCGGGTTCATTCATACGTTCCTGACCCCTGCTTGATATAGTCTCGCAGTGGAGAAATTCCCAATTCGGGGGGTGCCATTGTTGAGTGACGCTCCATATTTATAGCTGACATTAGAACCAGCGCCATCGTGCTGAAAGACCATTACGACACCCCACCAACTCCTTTGTCAGAATTGGTTGTGTGTGAGTGGAACGGTTGACGCTGGCCGGCGATGAAAGCAGTCTCTGTGAGGCTGCCACGCGCTCTCTTTGTGTACACGTGTGAGCATTAACAAGCCTAAACGGAGGACTCTGATGTTCTGCAAACAAAAACAGAAAAGGTGAGTCGCTTTTTTTTCTCCATTCCAAAAACGTGTTTGTGTCACGTTGCGAGGTGGTGGAGGACCCCAAAAAGCAGGCAAGAGGGAGGAGCAGGGTGAACTTGACGAATTGTATTTAATACACAGAGAAAACTGAATCCAAAACAAAGTCCGAAGTATCAAACAAAAATCATGACTGAAGATAAAACATAACAATGATCTAAACATGACTGAAACAAACATGACAGCAGCCAACAAACAGCAAGAAACAGCCACAATGACCCAACACTGAGTGGTCTTGCCGGGAGTCCTTTTAAACAGCTAACGACCTAACGGCCAACAGGTGTGCAGCTGCAGGGAGAGCCCTACAGTGCCACCTGTTGGTCACAAACCAAAACATGACAGTTTGCTTCCATTTCATCGTCTCCAGTGTCGCCAGCGGGGATTGATCGTTGTGCAATTCCAAAGACTGTCGTGTAGATTTCAGAGAATGAAGAAATGATTTGAAGTGTGTCCATTGAGGTTGGCTTGTTTGTTTCCGAATGGAATGTGAACCCGTTTTTGGGTTGTTTCAAAGTTTCAAGGTTTGACGGTGATTACTTCAAGTCCCACCAGAGGGCGCACACGTACCACAAGTTGCTGAAGTAGTTGCTCGGCTCAGTGTGAAAAGTTGGCCAATCGAGCAACTAAAGTGCCAAGCTGCCATCAGCACCTATCTCACTGTACTTCATGTTTGCGTGTGTGTGTGTCTGTGCTTGTGCGCGTGTTCAGATGGAGCAGGCGTCCATGGGGCAGAAGGGCCACGCCAACGTCCCGTGGATAGTGGAGCCGGGTCAGTAGGCCAAGAGAGCAGTCAACACCAAGTACGAGACCGCTATTTTTTAACATGTTGCCTTGTGCACTCCTGCATGCGCGTGCCTTTCTGAGGGCAGGCGTAGGAGTGGGCGGGGCCAAGGGGTGGCAGAGTTGTTTGTCAGGTGGGGCCGGGGTAGGGGAGGGCTCGAGTCGGGCGCAAAAGCAAAAAGCATCCCGTCAGTCCTTCTTCCTCCTCTGATAGGCCACCTGCTTGACAACGTTTGGGGTGCACTTCTGTTTCCACCTCCAGGGGGCAGCGTCAGCCCCCACAACTTCCTGTTTGTGGGTCAGTCATTTCCTTTCTTCCTTTTTTGCTTTCTGCTTTGTTCTGAATTGTCCGAGCGTCCCGCCCCCTGACAACTTGATTGACAGGTGCAGCAGTGTTTTAGCTGCCCAGGAGGCTGTTGTCATAGAGACAGCAGCAAGCAGAGGTCCACTTTTGGGTTTGTCGTCTTTTCTGTTCCTTTCGTTCCATCAAATAGCTTTACAGTGTTTCTTAGCTGGTTTACTGAAGTGTCTTTACAAAGCACGTGGCTTGTGAGACGCATGGCGGCCATTTTGCTGATGTGTGGTGGGGGGGGGGGGGGATACCGAGGGCTCTCCGGATAAGTGATGTCATCTCATTTTGCAGGGCAGTGGCGGACGCTCATGTCTTTTACTGTGGAAATCAAAGAATGTAGCCAGCCATAAACACACGGACCATGTCAGGCATAACATGTACGCTCTTTTCAAAGGACTACAAACATGGATACCCCCCGCCCCCGCCGCTGTTCCGCGTTTAAGCTTGACTGCTATGTCTCTCAACACACACACACACACACGCACACACACACACACACACACACACACACACACACGCACACACACAATAGGGAACTGAATGTTCTGCTCCAACCTTTTTGTGGGGGAGGTTACCATGGAGATGGACAGTTGGGCATGTGTGGGAGACGTGGTGAGAAGACTGGCATCAATGTTTAATATGAGAGTATTATATCGCACCCAAATGATCTTGTGCAATTCTCATCTGCTGTCATCCTCATGTCAGATTATTTTTCTACGCGCTCGAGACCTTTGGCCGCCCCCCCTGAAAAAATACAACAAAAAAACAAGCGTGAATATGCTGACCTCTGTCCCTCCTCCTCTGAACTGAATTCAACTGCTGTACGTATGGGATCTGAGGGGAAAAAAATGTACATAAATATTTTGCCAACTCATTGTTGATAGCTGTAATGTAAAAGATGGACAGACACTTTGTGGCATTGGGAAAAAAAGTTAAACAGAGACAAGTACTAGATTATTCTATAGATGATGTACTTGGAGTGGCGTTCATGTAAATAGGCTTGGGGCTTCCAGCACGCTGATTTTTTTGTAATTTTATGCCATTATTTATAACCCTGTAAAGCACACATGGAATAAAATAGGACTTGTACAACCATGACAGAGTGGAAAAGTTTTCTTTTTTCACAGCACAAGATTACCAACAAAGTAGGCAATGTCAGCAAGTAGATTTTGAAAGTTAAAATCTTGTACAAATCAAAAAAACAAATCTGAGAAAAAAATTTGAGACGAAATTAAGTTTTCTATTGCATGTATGAAGCTGTAGTTCACATATGTCAAAGTGCCGGCCCGCGGGCCAAATCCGGCCCGCGAGAATGTTTTCAGTGGCCCCTGGGATGATATTGATTTATTATTAGAACCGGCCCGCGGACCGCAGCAAGCCGAGAGCCCGCAGATCTTTTACACGCACCAAAACTA